ATGGCAGGGGCTGTCCCGGGGGAGCTGCCCCCCAGCACTGGCAGCAGATGCCCCGGCTCTCCGCTGGGCATTTGCAGAGGAGGCATAGGCAGCGTTTGCTGGAGCTGTGCTGCAGGACTCGCTCGCGCATGGCTAACATGCCTGGGGAGCCCAAGTGGATTCATGGGAGGAGGAAGAGGAGGAGGAGGAGGGCTGGCATAGGCAAGCACGGAGCCAGTGATGTCTCCTGGCCCCTGCAGGGACACCGGCTCTGCCTGAGCTCAGCCAAGCCTCCTGCTATTGCCCATCCAGAGGGGTCTGTGGGGATCCCAGCATCTGCTTTTCCAATTCCTGTTTGGAAATCAGGCTGGAGAACAAAGTCTCCCTCCCCCTGTTCTGCTTCATGTGCTGTCTCCTGTCTGGGAGATGATCATGGTATTAAATTAATTTTATACATGGTGTTCAGAACTCCCCTAATTAGAATGTTTTGCTCGAATTTTAGGCGAGTGTCAGTATTTTTGAGGTATCAGCAAACATAAAGGAAAGAGACTTGCCTGGCTCACTGTGCAACTTCCATTTTGGGGCCAAACTCAACACTTCTGTCTTCTAATGCTGCACCTGCTCTGCACTGGGTTGGAATTGGGATCTGGATCTAGTCTATCTGTTGGACTGGATGTAATGGCGTCCTCGGGGCTTTCAAGTAGATGGACAAAGAAGCCATTTCAAAGCTGCTATGAACTAGGCAGAACGCGACAGCGAAGAGGAATGGTCCAAGATAGGTCTTTCTCTAGGCAGGGAGTGCTCCGAAATGCTCAAAATGGCATTTGGGGGACAATTTTTCCCAGTCCTTTGTCTGTGAAGAATGAGGGCTGTGGTGGGAGGCATGCACCCAGGGTAAATGCCTCGGCTCTATTGTTCCCATCGTTTTCCTTGAGTTTATGAACCCCTATATAAAAGACTTACCTTTCACTAGTATGATTAAGAAAAGGCCAATGTAGCTTTCCCGCTCACTGGAGCATGAAGCGTGTTTAATTTAATAATGCTGATAAATCTTAAAGCCAGGAGCATTTGGCTAACACATGACCCACTTTTTCAATCAATTGGAAACATTTACATAACGGCCTGATGCAGCGCTCCTCCTGTGAGGGATGCGGAGCAGGGGATGGCAGACATTCCCGCAGAAAGCACTGCCGCTGTAGGACATCTGGTGAAAGCAAAATGGTAAATTTGGCTGGTCCTTAGCGGGCGAGTCGTGACCTACCTCACCGCGACTGCCAGCTCTCCTGCTGCCGCAAGGATGTGCCTGGGTTTAGAGCACCTCAGCCACCCAGCTGGGCTTTGGAGGTCCATCACCCCTGTGGCAAAGCCCAGACTGTTCCAGGGTCTCGCCCTCGCCTGCCAGCTCCCAGCAGCCATGGGACTGGCACCCTGGCCTGTAGCCGCCTGGGCTGCCGCAGCCAGGCAGTTTACAAAAGAAAGCCCTCAGGGTGGTGTGTGGGGTGGGATGGCTTTGTGGGTACTGCCTCTGAAGGTCATGAAAGCCACTGCCTAGGGATATGCCTTGACCATCAGCTGTGAACAGCCTCTACCTTCCTCTGGCTCTTCTGTCAGAGCATGCTCATCAGCTGAGAAGGGGAGCTGTGCCTCTGTGTTGGCTGTAGCGGTGTTGCGGCTTTGTTTCTTTCCCTGTGACAGGGCTAGGTTGGGACAGGGCATCCCTGGGGATGGCTGTCCCCCCGTGTGATGGGGGCACCTCTTTCATGCAGGCACTTTATCTCCTGGCACATCAGGAGCACCAGCAATGCTGACCTTCACATATCAGCACGTTCATCCTTTTTAGCATTGCTTCCCTTGCACAGAAATCAGCACTAACCAACACAACCAATTATTTATTTTCCTTTATTGTTTGCCTGCAGTGGTCTCAGTCTTGGAAGAGAAAGTTCCTGATCTTGCACATTGTGCTATCATGTGTCAGCCTCTTCCCATTACTCTGGTCCCCAACATCATCACCTTCTTCCTCTGAAATATTCTCCTCCTCCCCACCCTTAACAGTGCCTTTAGCTTAACATGTTCAACACATTTAATTTCTTATCCTTCTTGTGAGGATTTTACTTTTTTTTTCATTTGTAACATCCAGTGGCCTCAAGATCAGTGTTTGCAAGTAGGTTATAAGCAACCCCATTCCCACTGAGCCGGTCTCCTCTTAGCTCAGTGGGAACACTATCTCCCTGCTAACCGCATAGGTTTTATCCATTTTGGCTTTCATAAGAAGCTCTTGGAAGAGGAGGTTTTACATCAAACCCGTCTCCCAGCCATGATCTGTGCAGTGCTCCCTGCTTATTCATCCTGACTGCCTCTTTGCATTAAAGTAATACTTAAGAACTGGTTTACCTCCCATTTTTTGGTCACGTAAGTCCCTGTCTGAGCTAAGAAGAATGCCAGATGCTCATGACCAGGATGCAAAATCTCCCATCTGATATATACTGAGGGATTAAATAACATGGGGGAGAATTACTGTGACTCTCTCGGCATTGCACATAGAATGATGCTGGCACCTCCCTCTGAGACAGGACGAGTCTCCCCATGCAGTAGGCTGCAGAGACATTTCACATGCCTGGTCCTCGCACAAAGATGCCACTAAGGAGGCATCAGGAAAGAAAAGGAAGGATTTGTTACCATTCTGTGATTTTTTTTTTCCCCCTGCCTTCAAAATATCAGTGGCATTTTTCCCTCTAGAGGGCAGAGGAGGAAAGAGAGAGAATGGGAAGGGAAAGGAATGTGACAGCACTGGGAAAACTCACGGAGGTTTCATTAGATACATGCCAGGCATGGATGGTTGGAAATGGTGTGGTCCTGAGATGCAGTGGCCAGCTAGGGTGCTCACAGGTTGGGATAAAAACGCAGATATGTAGCACTCGGGACACCAGCTCCATCCTTCCTGTTCCATGCTCCTGGGGTCAGATAGATATTTCATGGTTGCTGAAAAACTGGCTTTTGATTTTCTGAGTGCCCATTCACACTTGAAATGGTGAATTTCAGTTCGCTAGATAGGTGGCCCTGGGTCTTTTAAAGTCCTAGTTCAGCCTTTTTTTCAATGAAAGGGTTGTTAAGCATTGGAATGGGCTGCCCAGGGAAGTGGTCGAGTCCCCATCCCTGGAGGTATTTAAAAACCGGGTAGATGAGGTGCTTAGGGACATGGTTTAGTGGTGGGTTGGCAGGGTTAGGTTAACGATTGGACACGATGATCTTAAAGGTCTTTTCCAACCTAAACAATTCTATGATTCTATGATCCTATGATCAGTCTTTGGCCAGGCTGCTCCACTGACTCCCTGCTCCTTGTGTCCATGCATTCAGCTGGGCACAGCTGCTTTTTGGCTCCTGCAGGTGTGGGCTAGCCATCTGGCTGTGTCACCTTGGACACTTGAGTGTTTGCTCCCATGATGGCTTTTGCATAAAGCCAGTGGCAAAGCATGGCAGAGCTGTGGGCTGTGCCCAGGCTTGTGCCCAGCATGGTCCCTACAGCACCATCTGCACCATGAAGGTGCTCAGCTCATGACATCTCCCCAGGCTGCTCCAGCTGTGGCTTTGCCATGCCCTGCTGCTGTGCAGGGTCCATCCCATGTCGAGGAACCTGTCTGTTTTGAGAAAAAACCTTTCCCCCTCTCTGTCCCCAGGTGATACGGCCGTGGTGCTGTCTCCTTTTGCGCCAGGGCTGCCCTTCCAGCTAACACACATCTCCCGTCCCCTGGTAGGAAATGGAGTCGAAAGTCTCCGAAGGCGGCCTGAACGTCACCCTCACCATCCGGCTGCTGATGCACGGCAAGGTAAGGGGCTCCCTGCCAGGGAGTTTCCTCACAGCTCCCTCTCCCACCTCCGCTCCAGCTGTGCCTGAGTCCAGCAAGCTCCACGCACCACCCCCACAGCCCTGGGCTGCCAGGAGCAGATGCCCTGCTGGTGGGGAGGGTGGCACAGCGGCACGGTGCTCCTGGCCCCTCTCATGCCTGTCCCCCACCCTGCCCTTCTGCTGGAGACAGCGTGCGCCAGGTCTTTGCTTCATCGTGGGGTTGGGCTGGATTGTCCTCACGTTTTGTAACGTCGATTCCTTTGTGTTTGGCTTTTTTTCTGTAGGAAGTTGGAAGCATCATTGGAAAGGTAAGGACGTCTTTTAAATGTGTATTTAATTCTGTTGCCTGCACCATTTGCTGCCTGTGGTGTGGTAGATGCTAGTCACCTCTTTCCTGTGATGTCCTTAAATGTTTGGTGTGCATGAGCTTGTTGCTGCATTTGTGAGACAGAAATTATGAGAGTGCCAGAGAGTGATCAAAGACCATTCCCCTAAAATAAAAAATAACCACCAAACTTATCTGGTGCTATTTCCAGCTGCTTCACTGTGGTGATGAGTAGGTGTTTCTGATCATGTTGCCTGACATTTTAATCAAATAGATTCATTAAGAGAGATTAAGAAATGTCATGCAGACCCATTTAAATTCTGCAGCATTTGTCTCTGAGGCCACAGGACACCATTTAGCGTGTGCAGAAAAGCCTCACGAGGTGTTCTGCTCTCTGGTGCTTGCTGTGGCGGTTTGGAAGGTCCTGGCTATACAGGATTGGGTTTTTGGTGTTTTTAAAAGACAGGTTTGTGGTAGCAAAGATTTGCAGCATGAGCACCTTCTCACATATGCTTGCACCTTATTTTTCCATCAGCCTGTCCAGCCCTGGAAAGATTCACGGTTGTACCTGCTTTATATCTGAATATAAAGATATCAGATCTCTCTATAGATGCTAAGTAACTGCCCTTCAAAATCACTCTGAAGTGCCAGCTTTCCTCAACATGTGATCAGTTTCTGAGCTTTTTCCATTGGTTTTCCTCCTAATGGGAAACAGAAATGAAGGTAGAAGCTACAGGTGTGTAGCTGGTTTGTCTGTCGTGTTTTACAGACGTGGAGAGCAGGGCTATGACAGGCTACTCCCTCAGCTCTTCAGCCTGCCCACTGTGTGGGGATGGAGGACCAGGCATCACAATGCTGCCCAAATGTTTGTCTGTATGTTGCCACCTATTAGAGAGACGCATGTTCAGAAGGGTTGTTCTGAAGGTGGAAGTCTTGAGTTTTTAGTAATAGCCTGTGTTTCTGCTTCCTATTTCAGAAAGGAGAGACTGTGAAGAAGATGCGTGAGGAGGTGAGCAACCCTGCTCTGTAGAAGGATTTGTGGGAGGAGGGGAGAGGAGTGGGCAGGGCCGTCGGGCTCTCCTGCCTGGCAGCAAGCAGCGTGGTGGCCAGAGCTGCACATTGCCCTGTGCAGTATGTGCAGTAGCTCCCAGGGTCAGGACACACAAGCTGGTTGTGCCCAGAGCTCTTTGGTCCAGTTTTCTCCCTCCATACTCAAACAAACTCCTATAAAATTTAATGGAAATTTTCCAGAGCCAAGAATTTCCTCTTAATGAAACAGTGAAATGAAGTCACTCGTAAGATGCTTGAGTTTGCCCAAGGTCTTTGCGCCTGCATCTACAAAGGTGTTATCAGATCAGTAAGCAACACTCTTCCTTTTTACAAGCAATGACCCTACAAGCTGGTCTTGCCTTGACCGCTTGGGTTTGCATTGCAGTAAAAGACCCAAGGTGGATGCTTGGAAACCCATCTGAGAGTTGGGGTAAGCCAGTGCTGGAAGCACCGCAGGGGAAAGGGTTGGGAGTTTTTAAGGTTAGATGGGGTGTAGAGAGGCTGGCAGAGGTGATGACCTAAGACCAAGTGAGCAGTGCACTTGCTGGTCACCTGGGGTTCTCTGAGCTTCTGCTGTTAGGTGCTGAATGTTCCCAGGCTGGGACAGGATCCAACCTGGAAGAAGGGCTGCACCTCTGGCACATCCCTTCCAGTTGCTTGGCTATGGTTATTCCAGGGCTGCCCTTCTCTTTCCAGAGTGGGGCAAGGATCAATATCTCGGAGGGGAATTGCCCTGAGCGAATCGTGACCATCACTGGCCCCACCGATGCCATCTTCAAGGCTTTCGCCATGATTGCCTACAAATTTGAGGAGGTGAGCAACATGAGCCTTCACCCCAGGAGGGCAGAGTAAAGTGGTCTACATCCAGACCCTTGGGTGGCCCACTGGCCAAGCAGAGCACTGGCATGCCCACTGCTGGGACCAGCAGTGCAGATCGGTCTGGATACCTCCAACCCATGTGTGACTGGTTGGACTTGCTTAACTGTTACACAACCTCGGCACAAAACCTTCCAGACATTTCTGACTAGGCAAATACTGAGTTTCAGTGAAGTGTCCCAGAGGTCTCACAGTTAATTAACTGCAGGAATATGCAGTGATGCAGCTGCAGACCAGCCGGGGTCTGGGGGACGTGACCCCTCTTCTCTGGCCCAGGGCATTTGGGTTGGCCTGGATGGCAGGTGTGGTGTTGGGTACCAAGGGCTGATGCATTGCATTCTTATTTCCCAAGGACATAACCAACTCAATGAGCAACAGCACTGCTACCAGTAAACCTCCGGTGACGCTGAGACTGGTTGTGCCAGCTAGTCAGTGTGGCTCTCTGATTGGCAAAGGAGGATCCAAGATCAAGGAAATCAGGGAGGTAAGGCAGACCTAGTTTTGTTCTTGCATGTAATCTCAGCTCTGACCAAGGGGGAGTGGGAGCTGCCTTGGAAAGGGGGATCCTTATGCTGTGAGCATCATGCATCATGTTGCTTCCCAGGATGGTTCTGCTGACATAGGAACAGCATCCCGTGGGACCTTGCCGGCGTGCTCCTGCAGATGCAGGCAGTGCGCCACATCTGAGCTTGCGTGGGGCAGCACAGCTCTTGCGAGGCGCGTAGCATCGAGCTGGAGCTGGCTGCAAGGAAAGGCATTCAGCTGTGGGATGTCTCCTCCTCTCTCTTTCTGTCTCCAGTCAACAGGTGCTCAGGTTCAAGTGGCGGGGGACATGCTGCCCAACTCCACGGAGCGGGCGGTGACAATCTCGGGGACACCCGAAGCAATTATCCAGTGTGTCAAACAGATCTGTGTGGTGATGCTGGAGGTACAGTCTGTAACAAAGGGGGTAAAGTACATAGGAAAAAAACCCAGCTGGCACCACAACAGTGCTGGGAGCTGTGGAGCGTGTCTCATACCCTTCACCACGCGTTGTTGGACCACTCATTTCCTGGTACCTCCGTTTGAAACCCACAGTGTGTTTTCCCTGCCATCTTTGTACGTTTTTTCTAGAGTCCCACACTGGAAACCTGCCTGATCAAGTGTCCCAAAGGAGATGGTTTCTGTCATAGCACAGGGTGGCTTTAGGAGAGGGGGATGACGGAGGAGACCAGGCAGGCTGGGACAGCCATAGCCTGGTTTCCCAGCAGCACCGAGGGTGCCATGGGAAGGGGATGGGTGCTGCAGCCACTCCACCAAGCACCTGGCCTCCTCTGCATGGGGCTTGTGGTGCCCCGTGAGGACCATGGCTGGGAGGAGGAGGCCAGTGCATCCCCTATGCTGGGGAAGCTGGGACTGGGAGCACAAACCCAGGCTCCAGCAAGGCACAGTAGGAAAGGTAGTGAAGAAGGCTGGTAGAGAGCAGGGCCCTTAAGATTCACAGACATGTGTCCAGGGTGCCATTTTCTGGGAGAAATGCTGATGAGCAGAGCTTGAAGACCTCTGCTATGGAGAAATGCTGCTGTACCAATGACTTATTGCCAGGGATGATCACAGCCATATGCCCCATGTCCACACCTGCCACCTCAGATGGGAGAAGCTCCATCAGGAAAGCCCTTGGGACACAGGATGGTGACACCCTCCGCTCCTGGTGCCTCCCAGAGGTGGATGGGCACAGATCCACGTCAGACCCCTCTGCCTTGCTGCACAGCCCCCACACCACTGCCCCTTCACAGCAAGGAGGAGCACATTTTGCTGCTGCAAGAGCTTCAGATGAGGATGCCAGGGCTTAGTGGAAGTGAAGCAAACCCAAATGTAAGCAACTTCAATTTGGTAGCAGCATGGCTAAGGAGGAATTGCCACAAGTCACATTACCCACCGCTGCTGGTAGTGATGCTCAGGCGGGTACGCTCTGCTGCTAGAGGAGTGCGATTTTAGCCATTTATGCTCTGGACTACAGCAGGTAGCTTCAGGTGATGCTTGCAGGTGTGTTAGAAAGTCTTTGGTGGCTGCTGATCTCAGCAACCAAAACAAGGGTGGTTGCTCCTCTGTATGGCTAAGCAATGATCCCTAGAAGCCTCCAAAATCTCCTCTATGGTCTGTTATATTCAAGAGAAAACCAACAGCAATAACTTGGGTGAGAAGATCCCATGCACCATGCAGTGGGATGCATCACTACAGCTTGATGTGCATCACTACAGCTTCTGCTCAGACCTACCCAGGTACCGGTCAGGTCACAGCAAGGAGGAGCAAGATGTCTTGCCCAGCTGGAGTGGGGCTGCCCCAGGTCATGCTGCCCCAGGAGAAGGACTGGGAGTGTGTACGAGTCAGTGCCTCTGATGCTGGTGTCTGTCTGGCTGCTCACACAGACTGCAACCACCATGCAGCTCTAGGATAAGATCTCTGGAAGTGCTGGTATTGCCCTCTGAGAGGGGTTTCCAGCCTCTGGCTCCCCCAGAGCTCAGCACCCTGCCCAAAGTGATCACTGCCACTTGTCTCCCAGGGTATGGGAGGTCTTAGCCCCATTCACGTCCCAGCTTGGATGGTGATAGACCAAACCAAGTCCTGAAGGTGACCTTGTTATGGCAATGAGGAAGATGAGAGGGGTCAAAGAGCTTGCGCATCATGCCAGGTTGCTCAGTCAGGATGCTTGCACCTGTGAGCATCGTGATGCCCAAGCTCACGATGCTATGCCACAGCTCCTGCTGCTCGGCGGGGGTGGTATGACTCCAGGGCAGGCTGTCGACATACAAGAGCTCTCAGGCTGCAAAGAAAGTCACTGTACGAGGAGGCTTCTGGCAGTCAGGGATGAAAAACCTGGTCTGTGGGTGTACCTCCCCATCTTGCTCCACCTTGAGGGTCGCCTTGGGGTGCTTTGAGGGCACTGCATTCCAGCATCAGGCTGAAGTCTAGACCAGGTGATGCAGTTTGTGGAGAGCAGAGCAAAGGCAAGGGAGACAGCCGAGGACTGGAAAGTGATTTATTGTCCCGTGCCTTGGCAGGGGATCTCCTGTACCCCAGGTTGTCCTCATTGTCCATTAAACACTGATTTCCCCCATGTCCTCCTGTCCAGAAACGCGGTTCGCCTGGTGCGTGTGTTGCTGGCGGCGGCCCCGGGGGCCGTGCTCCGTCGGGTGCTTTCTAACACTCTTTTTGCCGCCATTTCAGGAAAAGCTATTCTAATGTTCTCTCTCCCTCTCCTTGTCCCTTTTCCTAGTCCCCACCAAAAGGTGCCACCATTCCCTACCGCCCAAAGCCCGCCTCCACCCCTGTCATTTTTGCAGGTGGTCAGGTAAGAGCCGACCCTCTTGCAGCCTCCACTGCCAACCTCAGCCTTTTACTGCAGCACCAGCCGCTGCCCGTTAGTGCACTCAGGTTTCTTGCCTTCTGACTTGCATGGTGTCATCCCATCCGTTGTGTCCCACGCCAGGTGGACTGAAAGCTCTTTGCAGAACCGCTGGCAGTTTGCAAGCTCAGGCAGATGACTTAGCTCCTGTGATGGCTGCTAGAGGATAAGGAAAGGGCCAGCCTGGGGAGACAGGGTGTTAACTCTGCCGAGCACTCGTGCACCAAGAAAAGGCTGGATTTTGCTTCCTTAGACCCAAACTCAGTATTTGCCAACAGTTACCAGTGTGAAGGAGAAAATAAACAAGAGGCCATGACCATGCTCTCACAGTGGATGCAAATGTTTATTTTCTGGTATCTCTAGTCCAATTAAAAACAACTTTGCATGGTTGTAACTGATCTGAGATAGGAAGGGCTCATCCGAGTCACCCCAGGACCATGCTGAGCCTCTGTTCAGGGCAGTCTCCACGAAAGGGTCATCCCCATCACTGGTGCTCAGCTGGTTTGGGGTGCTGATTCCCCCCCAAATGCCGTAACCTCTGCTGCAAAGCGGGGTCTCAGCTCTGCCCACAGGAGAGCCTGTGTTGCATTGCCTTCAGTGACACTGCGCACTGCTCAGTCTGCAGGCTTGCAGTCATGATGTGGTATTTCTAGCAACCCTTGGGAAGTGAGGGCAGATTTTTTCTTTGCAGGATGGTTATCTCATGCACGTGCCACGGGAACTGGCAGTTGTTCTGCAAACGAAAATGAGCTCCTGCCACATGCGATTTATGAAACAAGAGCAGTTGAGCAGGCTGCTGCTGTTAAAGAGGGGACTTGAACCATTGCTTTTTTCCACCTCATCTACTTACCTTGCCTGGTGACCAAGGACCTGCCTGTAGATGCCACCATGCTGTGGTATACCAGTATCTAGCAGGAGAGGTACTTTCCCAGGAGCTCCAGCAGCCAGGTAGAGCCTGCACCACGAAGCTACAGCTAAATTACATCCAGAGCAGCTCTGCATGAGTTATTTAATTTCTCCCCAACCATAACAAAAAGCAGAAGGACAAACTAAGGGTGGGAGCAATGCCCAAAGCACTGGCTATTTCAGGTAGCGTGCTGAATTAGCATGTCTTAGTCATTGCCAGCATCAGGAGGAGTGTGCTGTTTGGTCTGAACAGCCATCCTGGAAAAGAGCTTTGAGTCCAGCTGCTTGGTGAACTTCTCTTCTCAAAAGGGAGAGTAATACAGAGATAGCATTTCTCCTGCTGGCGAACGGTTGGTGTCTTGCACAGAAGTGACATCGCGGGAAGAAGCAACCATCTCTGAAATGAGAGCTCTTCCCTGCCGCCCCTGAGGGAGCATTGGCAAGCCCCTTGGCTCTGCCCGAGGAGTGGCATGGGGCGGGTTGGCAGAGGACAGCAGGTGACAGTCAGTGGTATTGCGAGATGCTTTGGGGCGGGTTGAACCTGCAGGAGCTCAGCAGGCTGAGGGACGCGGTGGCCGATGGCAACTGCCACAGGGATCAGCCCTGTTGCCCGTGTGCAGCGTCAGCCTCTGCAGAAAGCCAGGTGCCACGCAGGCAGGTGCTGTCACGAGTTGGGTTGCATCTGTCCAAGACACCTTCCTTCCTTTAATTAGCTTTTTCTAATCAATTGTTCTAATCAAAAAACAACAATCAAATTAAAGCACCAGGAAGGAGTGAACTTAGAGCAGCCTCTGCCACGTCCCCACGGGCACGCCAGTCCTCATCACGCTGGGATGCCGGCAGGCACTAGGACTGCTGTTCCGTGTACAGGGCTTTGCCCCTTTCTTCCTCCAGGACTTTGGGGGGGTTCTTCACAAAAAGCGCTTTACAATTTGCAAACAATGTGGCAAATTTGCAGGAGGTTCAGAGTGTTTTTTTTTCTTTTTCTTGGCTATCTTTACTCTCCCTTTTTAAAATGTTATCCATCTCTTTTGCCATTTCTTTGAGAATCATCTGAATAATGTGTCAACCAGTGAGATACATCTTGCTAGCTGGTTAAGTCTAAAATATTGGGATCTCTAGTGTCTGGCTCTTTACCCACAGCAGTGCTTAATTTTCAGGCTATTTGCAAAAGAGAAAGGGTTGCTATAGACGATGGGAAAAACACTAAGCAATTTGCCTAGCAGACATTTGCATGGATTTGTCAATTATTGCTGGGGAAAGGCATTGCAGTGTGGGCAGCCTGTCCCTGAGCCCTCTCCACGCTTGGTGAGACATCAGTACCAGCTGACTTTCTGCACGGCAATGCCTTTCCCCCCAGCAGAGCACTGGAATATTCTGGGTAGATGTAGAGCATGTTGGGAGTTGTACACCTGAAAATACGGAGAGGCTCACTGCATTGGCTTGCTTTCTAGGATCACATTTAGGTGTGGAGTGTAACAATCATGTTAGCATGCATCCACTACACAGATAATTCTGGTTTGATGAATATGTTTTGTACAGCGAAGCCCAGTCTTCCTGCTCCGTGCAATTCTGGCACCTTTAAAGAGCTGTTTCCTTCCTTTTGGAAAAGCCAAACTGAGCCCAAGCCCTTCAAGTTAGGTAGCTCAGCATGCGCTGGCTTTGGTTGGAGGGGTACGTCTCCCTCCTGCCCCAAGGACTCGCTGCCCCAGCAAATTTAATGCAGCACAAGGGGGACTCTCCCCCTGGGCTAGCCAGGGGGCGCATGGGGCAACTGCTTGCTGCTCGGAAAGTGCTTCCCTCATCCCCTCCAGCCTCAAAATTAAGCCAGTTAAGTCAAAATTCAAGATCCCGTACGCCGCTTTCACTGGCACGGGGTCCCGGGCAGAGCAAGATGGGGGTTGAGCTCCTCTTTAGCCTCTGCATTCACAGCATTTACCCCACGTCAGGCAGAAGGGAGCAAAGCCCAGGGACGGCAGTCCCTGCGGAGGCATGGGGCTTTGCTGCTGTCTCCTGCCAGCCCTAATAACGTCTGTTTTTTTCTTTTGCAGGCCTATACTATTCAGGGACAATACGCTATTCCACACCCAGATGTGAGTTTTTCCCTAATTTCTCTTATACCCTTTTATGTCACCTGCATGCTACTGTTAATTCACATAATATTAATATTAGACAATAATATTAATAGCATATTTTCAAAGTAACTGGCCGTGTGTAGTATCTGTATTACCTCGAATAGCCTTTTAACCTCTTAGCTCTAAATTTATCAGTTCTGAGGACTTGGCCTGATGCTAAATTGTTTGCATTGTTCAGTGCTATCCCTTTGTTCTGAGACAAACCATATACTATGCATTTTGTGCCTCAAAATGATGAAAACATAGAGAGAAAGGGAAGAAAAAAGACTTTCCCCTCTATTTCCCCCCTTATCCTTAAATATTCATAAGCCAAGGGCTTATTTAGGTGTTGAGTGCCTTGGTGGGGTGGGGTGAAGCCAGAGCTCTAGTGGTGCGTGGTTTCTTGCTTGAAGCCTGGGTGGGAGGACGTGCCTTTTTGGGAGTCCTCCTCCAGGTGACTCAGAAGCAGGCGCTGAGGCTGGGCAAAACACCACCTGTGTCCCCCAGAGGGATGGAGAGCACAGCCGCCTGCCGCGCTGCTGGCTCACCTTGCCGACGGCTCTATGCCTCCCTGCGGGAGTGGACCCCAGACCGAAGCGGTCACCCTGGGTTTGACGGCTGTCTGGCTGGGTTTGTCTCCCTGTTGCCCGGGGGCAGGCATCACGGGCACAGTCCCCACTTTGCCTTGTGCTTCTTGGTGTGGAGGCAGGCGTCGCTCAGGCTTGCAGCATGGATGGGTTTTGCTGACGCTCAGATCCCCCCGCTCGTGCCAGGCTCCCGTGCCTGGGGTGTGTCAGGGAGTCACAACATGTTTGGGGGGGGATGTGTAGAGAACATCTGCTGGCATGTCGGCACATAAAAGTACCAACAGAAATAGAAAACGAGTCTATTTTAGAGGATTTCTCTATTAAAAGCAGTAGTGAAGCACTGCAATGCCAGCAGCTCCTTGCTGGCAACAGACAGCTGCTTGGCTTCTGGGGTCATCATGGCTGGTGTGTGCTGGGAGCTCTTGGAAAAGGCTGGGATTTTCTAAAAGTGTTTCAGTGGGGATAAAGCACCCGCTGAGTCCCATTGCAGAGGCCCCTTCTTGCTGGCACGCCTGTGAGTCAGGGGTCCGCAGCAGGGGCTGAGCACAGCGCGCCGCTCTGGGGATGCGGCTTAATTGTAAGCAGCGTGGTCTGGGTGTAAAGCCCTCTCCAGCCATCCCACACAGGGAAGAGTTTGATGTGGCTCAGTATTCCTCTTTCTGATGGGTGCATCATCATCATAATCATGGGATTACTTTTTGTGTGACTGAGAACAGAGCAAAGCTGTTCGATACCAGGAATGCATGCTCCCTGTGGGAATGATTAGGACTTGTAGGATGGATTTTGATCTTAGGAGCAGCGATTTCACCCAGTCTAGTGAGGCCAGGCTTTGGCTTTCCATGTGACACCAGTATGCGTGTATTTTGAACAGCCTGCTGTGGTGGTTGCTCAGAAATATTCGTAATTGTGTGCGCTTCACTTTTGCTCCCTAAGCGGAATATAAAGAAATACATCTGCGTATTTAAAGAGCATAGATCAATATATTCTTTGTCCCAGTTTTCCTTTACAAGCGGTGGTGACTGCTTAGAGTGTTTTCCTTGTTATTATATTCCTCTGTTTGACAGGAATAAAATACACTTAATATATTTTCTGGCTGCTCTCTGTCCTACTCTCAGCAGATTTGCTGAGACCTGGAAAAAGTTGTTCATGCAGGGGCCGCATGCTCCATCCTTACTCCCAGAGCTCTCTCACAAGGATCCATCATTTTAAACACTGCTCGGTGCAGAAACCAGCTTGAATGTGGGTTTAGGGCATTGCCCTCACTCTCGCAGGTGTCTGTGTTTAGTGGATGCCTTTTGCAGACCTGTGGCTGCAGAGTGGTCAGAATTTCAAATGCCAAAGCTAAAATGCAAGCTCCTGCCCTGATTTTCTCCCCGGGGAAAAAACCCAGGTCAGCAGTTTTGGCTCACGAAGGGCTTCAGCATTGCCCAGGTACTCGTAAGCCGTTTGGGATGTGATGGGTAGCTACCTGCCTTCACAAAATTTGCGGTGGGAGATGAAAGGACAGCCATGGCAGCCAGGAGTCAGAGGTGTCTGGGAGTGAAATGAATGTTGAGCGACAGGAAAGCTCCCCAACCAGGGCATTGCTCCCGGGTATGTGCCAGGCTGGCAGCTGATGAGATGTCACCAGGCATTGCTGTGGGTGCCTAGTGATGCTTGGCGTGGCTGTACGTTCATCCCAGCACTGCTGTCCTGCCCTGTCCTGTCCCTTCCAGCAGTGCCGGTGGGGGAACTCCCCTCTGGTCTGTGGGGAAAACCAGAGTTTGAAGAAATGGTCTCAGGTTTTTGCTTTCAGCTTTTTCTGGGGAATGGGAGAGGAGGTGTTTCATGCACTGCAAGGGTTCACATAGCAACTTTCACGCCTAGATGTAGCCATCCTCTCCTCTTGCAGGCTTTTTTCATTGCTGTTATTATGGGTGTTTGCTAAAGCCACTATCCAAACTATGTCTAGCATAAAAATATGCTAGATCAATATTAGAAAGGATTTTGGTGTTTCCCCATCAGGCAAAGCAGGACCCCTGCCTTGGGGGGCACGGTTGGAGTCCGAGGGACTTTGCCTCCCCAGTGCTCCTTGGCCATGCTGGCAAAGAGGCAGGAGATTTCATCTGGAGTCCTGCTGCTGGGACCAAATGTAATGAGGAGTTCTGCAAACTGGGGCGTGCAAATCTGAGGGCGTGCCTGGGTTTAATTTGGTAGAAAACAGGAAAGTTCTTACATTAAAAAGCAGTGGATGCTGATGTCCCTGCTACCTGCAGGAGAGGTGGCGTGCCGGGTCGTATCCAGAGCTGACTGTGTGCCAGCAGGAGCCCGCCATAGGGCGTCTTCAGCCTATTTTCCGTGCTGCACAGGGAGAGATGTGCACATGCCTCTTTTTGTGGTGCAGCGAGGCCTCTCCCCCAAGCCGGCGGAGGCTGGAAGTCCTCACGCCTTGGCCCAGCGGGGCCCCCTCGGGTACCTCACCAGGGACTTGCAAGTGTTTCCCCTCCCCTCTGCCTCCCTCCAGTCTCTCCCCCGGTGTGCTCAGCCCCCTGGCTCTGCTCTCTTCAGCTCTTCCCCCTCACCACTGCCGGCCAGACCTCCCCGTGCTCCTTCCCCAGCCATGCTGCAGGAGCAAGGAGGTTTTTGACTATTATTTTCCCCCAAACATGGAAATCATAACTCCTGACTCTCCCTCACTGGGGAGGGGATGGCTACAACGAGTAGTTTATGTTTGGGGGATGATGCGATCCTGGCAACCCTCTGACCACCTGTGAAATCACCGAGCGGGAGGCTCATTGCTAGACTCAGCCCGGTTTGTTTTGTTTTCTTTTGTTTTATTGTTTGGTGTTTTTTTTCTTTTTTTAATTTGGAGCAGTAAAACAGAGCACAAAATGTATTCCAAACAAACTCCTCTCTATGCAACCACTTCCTGACAGGACACGAAAACCTACCCAGCACAACAAGGGATACAAGGATCTGAAATACCTACTGGTCATGGCTGAAGCCCATATTTTCCTATACTGCTAAGGGGCTTGCGCTTGTAATGAGCTGACATTAAGAGCCACAGTTTGTCTGTCTCCCAGAGACATTTCCCATCAGAGGCGCAGCACGAGAGCGTTTGCTGTGGGGATGAGTGGTCATGATGCAGCTCCAGCAGCACAAAGAGGGTCTTCTGGCTGCTGGCACACGATGGCCACCAGCCTGGCAGTGCCTTTCAGGTGGCTCCTCTGCTCTAAACCTACCTTGAAGAGAGCAGCAGCCTCTGGTCGAAGGTTGTGAAGCCCGGGAGGGGGAGGCAGCGGCTGGAAGCGCCGCAGGCAGCAGCCCTGCCCCTGCTGCAGCAGCCGCCGTGCGCAGAGGCAGCCGCTCCCTCGCGGCACGAAGGAGCTGAACTGTTTGACGAGAGGTGGAAACTAAGAATGGGCTTCTTGCTGGTATTGTACTTCAGACCCTGACCAAGCACTTCTGCAAAAGATTTGGGCTTTATTGTATTTTACCCAGGCCAAGTCCTTCTGCTAATGTTTTTGCCATGTCTCACCATGGCTTCCTCGTTTGTTTTTTTTTTTTGTTTTATTTTCTTTTTTTTCTTCCGTTATAATTTTGTTCTTGATTTTCGGTGTGACTTGTACTCTATGACAATAACCTTCTTAGCTCTAATGTCCCTCCTACCCCTCAGCAGTTGACCAAGCTCCACCAGTTGGCTATGCAGCAAACCCCCTTTACTCCCCTTGGACAGACCACCCCCGCTTTCCCTGGTACGTACCCACATGCCCTTTCTAGATATCCTTCTCTTCTTACCTGTAGTTTCTCTCTCTCTCTCTAAACTCATGCTATTTAATGGAAACAGGCAGGGCAAGTAAAACTGAAGTTGCAATGTCCACGGGGAAATGTTAATAGGGAGACAGGACGGATTTTTGGGGGTTATGGTCCTCACGGGCGAGCTCTCAGCTGTTAACTGCACATGCCTGGACTGCTCCTGCGAAGCCACGCTTACCTTGCTCCCAGCACACTGGCTTTCCCAGCAGAAGCAATGAGCGCCACCCTCCCATCCTTCCCATCCCAGAGGAGGTAGCATCCCCCGCTGTGCACTGCTCCGGACCCCGGTGGGACATCCCCACTTTCCTGGGGAGAACGGCTCAGCGCCAGCCAGGGATGCTGCCCCACTGTCTGCAGGGAGCGGTGCCAAGCAGGGCAGGATGGCACCCCCATGCTGGGGAGAGCGATGGGAAGGAGCCATGGCTGTAAGGAGCCGTGTTAATGGGAGGACAGCCAGCCCCGGCATGGCTCAGCAGCCTCGTCCCCAAGGCTGGCGTTGCAGTTAACGCATTTCATGGTGACCTGGGAAGCAGATAGAGTGCAGGGGATGGAGATACTTAAAGTACCTTTGTTTACTCAGTGGTCAAAGCGCCAGTTGGAAATGCCTTTTCTGACAGTATGTTCATCATATTTTGAGCTTCCTAGATGAAGTGACATTGCTTATCTCCTTGAAGGCAAAAGCATTAAACCTGTTTCTTCTTTGCTCTTCAGGAGAAAAGCTGCCCTTACATTCCTCCGAAGAAGCTCAAAATCTGATGGGCCAATCATCAGGTAAAACACAAAGCTTCAGGGAAATAAGCAGGCTTCTGTTGAAATACATTTCTTAAATAGGACTGTGCCATTGTTGTGCTCGTAGATAATTTGTGGTATTTGTGGAGAAGATGGCAGGTTTTCTTGGTTGGCAGGGAGAGACCAGGCAGTACTGTGCCTGCAGTTCTCCTTTGTACAGCCCAGCAAAAGAGAAGTGCCTGGAGTTTATTGCCTAGGTTTTTGGTGTTTGCATGTGACTGCCATCCACGTAACAGAAAGAGTCAGAGTCATCGCCCTTATTCTTTCATTTAATTTTGCATAAACTTTGCTCAGAAACAGTAGAAAAATGCCTGTGGGAATGGAAACAAGACACAATTTTAGCCGTCTCTAAGCCATTCAGGGTGAGCTGCCTTTTTAGTGGGACAGGACCCCGAGGAGCCAAAGTATGTAATGTTGGAGAAATTTTGAGGTCAAACGTCCTGCACATTCATCCATATGTGCCAAACGTGCTTATCTTTTATAACCTACCATTGCTTAGAGAAGTTATCCTGAGATCTGGAGGCTCATAGGTGACGTGAGCCAGACCTCCCTTGGATGTACCTGGGCACATGTGTGCTCTGCATCCAGCTGAGGTGCATCACATGCATGCCTCCAAAGAGTCTGGGGACATCGCCTAACTATGAAAGCAAATGTAGCCCAAGTAAATAGACCCCACAAGACTATAGCAAAAATAGATTTTATGATACCAACCTCCACAGCCTTATTTTCTGTGTGCCCTGCTTTGCCCTTTGCAATCACCCGTGGCACTAATCCTGCCCTGACCCCCCCCACCCACATTACAGCTGTGGGGACTGCTTGTGCGTATCAGTGAGGGAGGATCTGGTATGCTAAAATAAACTATCTCCAGGTAATGGAGAAGGACATGGCCATTCCTCAATAGCCATCATGATGCAGGGGGTGATGCAGTACCATGGCACCATGTGCCCCAAGGGCTTTCAGCAGCACCCATGGCATCTGGGCAGGGGGCCATATCTATGAATCTGAGGAGGCCAGCCTGCATTTCCAAAGACCCCTGGGTGCCTCAGCATTGCTCTGAGCCCATCCCCAGTGCTCTGCTCCCTTCAGAAGACATTTTCTGCCCTACAGAAGCTACTGACAAGCTGAACCTTGTAACACATGGCTGAGAGGCAAGGACATCTGCACCCTGGGGGACATGTCTTTGCCTTAGATGCAATCCATCTTGCCCTAGACTGTGAGGAGGCTTGGTGTGAAAGATGGTCCAGGGCTGGTCAAATGTCTCTCCCAGTGCAGCATGCTATAAAGTCAGCATTAAGCATTGTAAAACTGTGGTCTGTGTAAAACCCGGGTGGGAGCTGTTTTGTGCAGGCTTTGGCATTAGTACACCTGGCAGGGAAGAAGGATGGCATAGGGCTTCTGAGTGGAGAGTTTGCATCCTCATTCCCCGCCTTTCTGTGTGCTCCCGAGTGAAAAACTTGGTAGGGAGACCTCCTGCAAGTGGGCGCCTGGGTGGTGTACCCAGGCCTTGTGTCTCTGTAAGAGGTGCATGTGGGAAGGTGCAGGAATCATGCAAGAGCAAATCGAGGATACCTGATATTCTCCTTTCTAGGGATGATGCTCAAATGAGAGTGCAATGTAAGGCTTCATTTTAGTATTTTAGAAATCTTGCTTTGACAGTGCCAGTACCCAGACAGACATCAGTTCAGACCTGCTGGGTTTTAAAACCTGGGCGGCTGTTGTTGGCAAAACTGGATGGGAGCTCCTCTTCTGCGGTGCAGAGGGCCTCGATGGAAATGCAGACCATCAAACTTGGCCACGAAGGAGTTGCTCAGCGTGGTTAAGGCAGCGGCATAGAGCTCTGCAGCGTGAGGAAGCCCTGCTGGACTGGGCGACTAGAAATTCAGGGTTGGTGCTGTCTTGTGTTGTAGCAGCCCAACACTTTCAGTATCCTTGTGTTTCTTTTCTCTGCACGCCTTTAATCTGCACAAGTGTCTTGGACTCTTGCACACACTGCTCTTAAAAGCCACCTTTGGTAGTTCATACCATATGGATAAGGGGGTTTTTTGAGGTTACTGCAAATTCCTGTTAGCCACTAGACAGCTTCTCTCTTGCAGATTTGCAATAGGACATCCCTGCTTCAGCATTGAGGTGATTTAATATGGAAACCTGTGGGAGAGGCAGGCTTCAGTCTGGCCTAGGAGCATTGCAGCATGCTGTCCTCCTGCCTCTGGAGCTGCACACGGAGGGTAGCCTGCTGGCTACTTACTGTTTGCCATGCTTTCCCTTGGGAGTAAGAGGGACCATCCGTCCTGGGTCCAGGTAGCGTTCATGTCTTAGCAATCTGGTTTAAATTCAGCGTGCAAGTCTGTAGGGCTTTAACTCGCACAGTACTTCGCAGGCTGCCCTGTGCTGGGACTGCCGGATCCCCTGGGGAAACCGGTTTTGGGGCACCAAGCTGCTGTTGTAACCAAGCGGCTCTGTGCTGCTGTGCCCAGAGAGGGCTGCAGGGTGTGTGGGCAACCCTCCCACTGGCAGGCTGTCTGCCTCTCGGGTTGGGTTTCCCAGCCAGCAGGCCATCTGCTGCTGTGTGGAGGAGGGAAGGTGCTTTTCCCACCTCTGTCAGAGCCTCCCAGCGATGCTGCAACCTTGTGCTGTAACGCACCCTCCTCTGAAGCCATTCCCAGTGGGAAGATGGCGGGTGGGAAGTGAGGCACTTGTGGGGCAATGCCTGCAAGGCCAGCTCGAGAGATGCAGGGAAAGGTGGCACCCAGCTTCAGAAGAGTCAGGTAGAAACCGTCTTCCTCCTCCTTGTACCAGAGTGTGTGATCCCCTTCCCCTCCTGGCCCCGGAGCAGGACGCAGCCTTTGCAGTGTTGACTGTTGCAGGAAAGCAGTGGAGCTCCAGCATGCTGCCTCTGCAAGCTATAACCATTTTCCCTTGCATATGCCCAGGTTTGGATGCCAGTCCCCCGGCCAGTACTCATGAACTCACCATTCCCAATGATGTAAGTAAATCCAAATGCTTCCTTGGAGGCTGTGTGAGTGTGTGTGTGTGTGTGTATATATATATATACACAGGGATATGTCTTTGTTAAATATGTTTAGAGATGCCCCTTCACCAGGTTCACTCATGCCATGTACAGTCTGTTTGAGATCAGCCTGCAGCATAAGTCACCCGTTGGACTTTACCCTGTTGGTAGCTTTCCTAGGTACAATCCTCCTTAATGCTCCATTTCCCTTTCCAAGTGAACTCGGTGCTCATGAAACATGCCCAGTTGACTGCACTGGGAAGAGGAGAGAGCTCCTGAGCCGTCCCTGATTAAACTATATTTGCTTAATCTAGCGCTGACAGATCTGAGATGATGTTTCAGCTCAAGCATGGTAACTGGGGGAGGGGTTGAAGAGGAGGTAAGTAAATAGTGTTTCTGATGTCACAAAGTGCCACACAAGCATCTGAAGGATGGTGCATCTCATCTTAGTACTGGTGGCAGGCAGCTTTCGGGTCTCATAGAGGGTGTCATTGCGGTCAAGTGGATGTTGGACTGGGATATTCGCTGGAGGGAGACTGAAGTTATGCTTGGCATTGAGTGGTGCAAGAAGGGCGCTTGGGGATGCTCAGGTGGGAGGAGGTGGGATGGAGAGCCCAACAGAGCCGACACCTGGATCCAAGGGTCTTGCTTCTGCACTGGCCTACTGGTTTTCATGGATTCATAGCAAGTGGGCACTCAAATCAGGATCAGGGCAAGAGGGGGGATCACTTCCCATCTCTGTCCCCATCTCCACCAACTTCAAGGACCTTCAGCCCATCCTAATCAGGAGTTTCTGGATCGGGTCTTGCAGCTCTTTCCACTTCTTCATGCTGTTCACCAACACACGGCAGTGCAAGGGAAGGGCAGAGAGCATGGCTGCAGCTGCCAGGCACCTCCACTCCTCCAGGACACTTGCAAGGCCTCCTTCCACCTGAAAGCTGTGGCAGTGAAACAGCTTCTGAGTATTTGCCATCTGAAATTCTTGGAGATGCTTCACCCTGGGGCCAACCACCGCAGAAGGGCTCTGTGGAGGAGCCTGTGGGAGATGGCAGCAGGGCTGATCCCTGGTCTGCTTCTGTCCATCCAGCGAGGAGCCCCCTCCAGCAGGCTGCGGGGAGCTCTGCAAGCGCTCCCGAAGTTGAAACAGCTACATCTGTTAAGCATGTGGGACTGTGGCCCTGGCAGCAGCGAGAGCATCTTCAGAAATATCAAGTCACCCCTTGCAAAGGGGCCTTTCCTCCCCTTTAACATGCCGATGGACCTGCCACGGGACCTGGGAGCACTCAGAGCATTCGCTTACTAAAAGCCTGGCTCTCATCAAACCTGCACAGCATTAAATGTCATTGCCTGCGTCTTTCTGCCTGCTGAAAAATACCTCCATAGGTCTGCCTACTGTCGTTTTGAGGGCTCTTAAATCCCCATTGCCACCTTCCCAGGAAATGGAGGACAGGTCTGGGTTTCTTAAAGCAAAGGGTCTACAGGCGTGTTTTAGTGGTGTAGATCGACTTGTGGTTGTGCTGCAGAGAGAGGAGAGTTGAAGGAAAGCTGATGATGAAATTCATCTTGTCTCTTTGACTGTCCGGAGAAACTTGATCAGCATGCAGAGATGCTTGGATGTTGCTGAAAATCTTTCCAAATAGATTTGGCTCCTTGGGTCTCTCCAGCAGGTTCCAGCTGTAAGGAATTTTCATTTGTTGAAGCATCTCTGAGTTATTTCTGTGGAGTGAAGACCAGGATGAGTGGCTATTGGGCTGAACATCATGCTAGTGATGAAGTGAGATAGTTGATACCCTTACAGCACTGCAGTGGGGTGTACATTCGGATTCATATGGGACAAACCACTAAGGTAGCCCCATGGTCTGACAACAGGACCAGTGAATATTTGGAGGAGTAGTTGTCTCCACTTACACAGTGACAGAAACCCAGCAGCTGCCAAGATGAATGTCCTGTATATAAAATTCCCAGGTGCAACCTTGGAAAGGAGCTCAAATGCTGATGGCCAAGAAGAATATACAGAAACACCTCATGCCTGTGTTGGTAAAGCTGGACATCTCGGTATGCGTTACCAAGGTTCAAAGGTGCTTGAGGGAACCATAGTTTGATGCACAAATGAGTGATAGCGAAGATGAAGACCACTGAGGAAATTCAAGCCATTGAGGACCATTGAGGAAATTCAAGGGGCAGGCAATTGAGGAAATTCAAGCCTACAACTGGCTCTAATTTTTTCACAAGAGTGTGAAAGACATGTTTTTAAGTAGGATTCTCTTCTGTGCCACAGCCACATGGTGCTCTCCTGTCAATGGTGTGAATGCCGGCGAGCCCTTGCATTGCACCAAAAGAGCTGAAGAGGCTAACAGAGGCAGTAAGGGTGTCCCAGCAGGCTAGAAGTAGTGTGGGATGGAGTGAACAATGTGAAGCCATCAGTGGCGTGTGATGAGGGAGCACTTGGGGTTGGGCTGTCCCTGGGGAAGGTGGCGGGCTTGTTTTCTTCTATTAAAGCATCCTGTATCACCATCTTCAGGTTCACTGCAATTAGCAAGGGGATAAGTGCAGAGCACAGGCTGAAATATGACTTATTCCCATGCCCTTGCAAAACAATTGCAATTATTAGACCATGAAAATTATTATTACTGAAATGAGCCCAATATAATGCCTCACTCTTCCTGAAGCCCTCTGAGATGCCAGCCATCGTGTGCGGATAATTTAAATTTGCTCCCCTGAGGACCAGAGCAGGGCAGGCCACTGGACGTGTCCTGGGAGGACCATGCTCCCGTGCAGCTGGGATTCATGCCCCGGCTGTCCCTCTCCAGTTTTCATGAGCATTAAGGTCACTTGCACCCCAGGACAGACGTTCCCTCCGTGCTTTTTTTCTAGCTAATAGGCTGCATAATTGGACGCCAAGGGACCAAAATCAATGAAATTCGGCAGATGTCGGGAGCGCAGATCAAAATCGCCAATGCCACGGAAGGGTCATCGGAGCGCCAAATTACCATCACAGGAACCCCTGCAAACATCAGCCTCGCGCAGTACCTCATCAACGCCAGGTGAGACCCCCCAGCTGAACTCCACTGCCTCCCACCACAGCCAAACCCATCCTGCCAGTGCGGTGGGAGCAGCGCTCGCTCCCGGCACCATGGGCCAGGAGGGGCTTCCTGAGGCCATCGGGGATGGATGGTGGCTTGCTGAGACCTCTGAACAGGGACCAGACGTCACCAGCAGGACCTCTCACCCTGTTGGTGCTTTGGCTGGGGACCAGGAGGTGCTTCACTGCCAGTGGAGCAGCCGCAGGTTGCGCCAGTCACCTGCCCACCCACCACTCTCACTCAAGGATTTTGCTCATGGGTGGGCAAAATCACTGCCGTCTTTCCCTGCGGACAAGGCAGGGGATGGGGACGGGGACGGAGCTGAGCTGGTGGTGGGGAGGCATCACTTGGGAACTTCTCGCTGGGATCCCAGCATCGCTTACTGCCGCCTCAGAGCCTCTTCCGTGTGCTTCCAGGCCTCCCAAAGGCTTTCCTCCATCCAATGAAAATAGTCAGTCCAATAAACGCAAGACATGGGAACGGCCTGATTGCTTCATTTTCATGCTAAAAAACTTGGCGCAGCAGGACTTTTCAGGGGCTGAGTGCTCCCAACGATGCCTTCGGCTAGGGGGTAATGCTGCCTGTGCTGTGGGGGACCAGGGGTCTGGCAAGGGACTGCAAGGGGAGTGTATAGGAGAGGCGTAGCTGGAGAGGGGTTGGGGACCAGCTCCGTGCTGGCAGCAAGTCGTGTCAGGGGTGGTCACACAGACCTATATGCCTACATCTACAGACTCATGGATGGGGAGCTTAAGGGGAGACAGGGCCTTTCGCTGGCTTCGTGCCCGCCTGGCACAGCCGTGCAAGCTGAGGCCGTCTGGCCGTCCGTGCCCTCCGCTGTGGGCAGAGTTGGTGCCGTGCCAACCTGCCGCCAGCTCAGGATGTGCGCAGCTGCGGGAGGCTGCTGGCGTGGTCACAAGGATGGGGGGCTGTTGGCGGCAACTCTGACGTTTGTTGGGGTGTGGGCTGGGAGGACCAGTGAGGTCTGTATGTGCTTTCTCCTCCTTGCACCCAACCCACCTCAGCCCCAACCTGCAACAGACCTCCACCATCCCATCCTGCCCTGCTGTCCTGCTGCCCACACCCATGGCACCTCTCCAGCTGCTCAGGAGAGGGATGGGGCCAGCCCCGTGCCCATGGGCATGGCCAAAGCAGCTTTCCCCGCAGCTCCTTGCAAATCCTCCCCACCTCTTGAGACGAGAAAGAAAAGAAAAATGAGTGGCTCTTCATTACTGGGAAGGACTGGCTGAGATGCAGCTTGTGCTGTGGCAGAGGTAGAGATGTCTTGGTGAGGGGCAGGATGGGGCATATCTCAGCCTCTCCCATAGTTCCAAAAAACCAGAACAAAACAAAGAAGCCAGGGGAGCTGGGACAGCTGCCTGTCCTCTGTGGGAGGAATGCTGGTAGAAAGGAAGGCATGTGCTGGGATGTCTCCTGCCAGGACCCCTGGTGGGTGGCACCTCTGCCACAGTGCAATGCCAGGGATGGGCATTACCTGGCAGCAGTGATGAGAGGGGAAGGCACCCAGCTGTTGAGCTGGCTCTATGCTCCAGCCCCCCCGTGCCCTTCATGGGCACCCTCAAGCTCCATGCACTCAAGCCACCCAGTGAAGCTCTGCCCCCCATAGGCAAGAGGAGGAGCGCTGCCCTGCAGGGTCTTAATTTTCTTTTCTGCTCCGGATATTAAGTGCTTGTTTTTGTCTCCCCCCCTCCTCCCCCCCCTTCTCTCTGCCCTGTCTATTCTAGGCTGACGTCTGAGGTCACTGGAATGGGCGCACTCTAATTTCCACCCACCATCCTCCACTCCGCACCACCCGACCCTCTCCAGCCACCGGCACTCCACCCAGCCTGTACTGCCTGTACATTTACCGTCTTCCCTTTACCTCCACAAATACTCTTTTCTTTACTAACTAACTAATATATATATATAAATACACATGCATATGCACACACTGGAACGTTTCTTTACGAGCTCCTTACTGTGCTCCTGAGGCTGCTCCCGAAATCTTTGGTTATGGTCCTTGTTTTCAGCGTATGGTGTTATTACTTCATCTGTTTTTCCGGGGGGTGGGAGGAGGGTTCTTTTTTTTTCTGCTGGTGAGACTTCAAAGGATGACGGGGTCTCTAGTGTCAGTCTAGTGTAGCTACTTACACGTTTGAGTTGACGTTGGCGGTACTTGCTGTAGCCTATGGACATGTGACGCCACTCAGAGCTGTGTGTGCTTCAGAGTACTTACTTTTCTCACCCTTCCTCCTTTGATGCTCCTGCTTCATTCACTTTGCTTGTCCTGGCTCACCTTTGCAACCTCGCATCCCTGCCCTCAGGATAAGCTGTAGTTTTCACGCCGTGTTATTTGGGAACCAGAACATGTGGGAGCCAAGACGATGCGCACACGTGTTCACCCACAGACTTCTCTCTTTGCAACATGGCAGGGTCCAGACAAGCCATTTTTCGTACTAAAGAAAGGGACTCTCTCTCTCTCTCTCACACACACACATACACACATACACACACAGACTCCTCTTTTTTAACTAACAAGCAACTGGAAGTGTGAAGAATTCAGCTGTACGGGATTCACATCCCCAGGGGCCTTTGAAAGCATTCTTTTGACAATCCCCACAAGCAAAACCTTTGGATGATAGCTCAGGAAGCTCTGTGAGTCAGCTGTGTTTGTCATTGTTTGTGTTCAATAAATGTCTGTGCAGCTCTGCTACAGATGGGCTCTGACTGTTCTTCTCCTGGGTCGCCCTGCCATCTCCAGCCCCATCCTTCTCTCTGCATCCTTCCACACCTTTATAGCTGCTTGAAGGGAGAGTGGGGGTTGTATACAAAAACTTCATCATCGTCATCATCATCATCATCATCATCATCATCATCTGTTATTTTATTTAGAGAAGGTCCCCATGAGCAATGCACTTCCTGAGTCATTCTAGGCTTTCTTTTTTTTCAAGTGGAGGGTGCTTGGCTTGCACAATGCTTTGGTTTTCCCTAAGATTAACTTACAAGTTACAATACAACAACAAACATCTCTCACTGCCCCCTTGTCTGGACAGATCTGCCATGTCTGTGCCCCACACCCTTCCCCAGGACCTCTATGCCCCGCCCTGCCTTCTGCTTCCAAGCTTTACATCTCTCTCCTACCTCTCAAGCAAGGAAACACATATATTTTCCACCAGTTACTTTCCTACTGTACAAAATGTATGGTACATGCTTTTCCTGTATTGCAAATGAGGGGATCATGATACACCATGTCCCCAGGCAGCTAAAGCAGCCACACAATACATTTTTGCACTGTACCACATGGGAAATATATTGGTTTTCCAGGTGACCCCCAAGACTTCGTGGCCTTTCTTCTTCCCCTGGTGCCAACAGGCACTGCTGGCAGCTCCCCCTCCCTTCTCCTGCTAGGATGCTGGACCACTTCCCCTCCTGGCTTTAAGTGCTGACTGCCTGGTGCTCCTGCAGGGCACTCAGAGCTCCCCTGGGCTGCGGTGGAGACCCTGGGTGATGCCACTGCATCAGTGGCACCAGGGGTGGCCAGGGGGTTACGGGCTCCAGCCCCAGCACAGGGGCTAGGGCAGCTGCCTGGCAGCTAGCAGGGATGATAGCACGGCTCAGAGAGGGCAAAGGGAGTGGGTTTGCTTGAGCAAGACAGCACATGCCTGCTCCCTGCATGTACCAGGCAGCATCGTCACCTCTCCTTAGAGGTTCATTCCCCCAGCCCAGGATCCCACTGCTGGCAAAGCTCCAGAAAGGTAGAGGTGACTGCCAGCCCTTGCCACTGAGCATCAGCGAGCCACGCAGCCTAGGTGTCAGAAGCATTTCAAACCTCTGCATTTAAAGGTGCTTCCAGCTCCTTCATAAGATGCTTTGCTGCCCATTCTCAACCCCTTGGATTCAGCCGTGCCTTTCACGTGGTCCAACATGTGAACACGCTCAAGAGCATCCTCTTATTTCCTGTCTGGGGGCCCAGGTGCTTTGGGTAGTGCTATGGGGGGCTTAGGTGGAGCTGGTAACCTCCCCCAGGAAGGGGCAGCAGCCTCCCTTGTATTTGTGCTGATGCTGGAGCAGGGTGGGAGCCCAGGCAGCAAATGTTGCCTCCCCCAAGTTGCAGACTGGCCACAGCAAGCACAGGGCCACCTGCCAAGGTGGTAAGTCAGCTGTGGGCAACCGGCACTCCTCATCCTCTCCTGTCCCTCATTCTGGTCTAGCCCAAGTATTTTTCCTGTTGAAAGAACAAAATACCTGTGCGTGAGATCCAGCATGAAAATAATCAACCATCAGCATGACAGAGCCACCATGGCATCCTGGGTGGTGAGCCAGGGCATGTGCCAGCCAGCAAAAGCTCCACATCCCAAACCCAGGGCCAGCCAGTGGCCTGCCAGACTCTGGGACTTCTCTTTGGGGTCACATTTCCCCGGTTAGTTTGCAAATTAAAAAAAAAAGAAACGAAACCTCAGTGTGGGAATCTAGCAACTTATCCATCATCATCTGGGCTTGAGTGAGGCCTGGAGAAAGAGGTGTTTAAACAATTGCAGCATCTCCTGGGAACATGTTGATGACAACAATGATAACAACAAAATCACAAGGAATGTATCAAACTCGGCTTTGATTTCTTTGGTATAGCTCAAAAGGAGATTTGCTGTTTTCTTTGGAAGGAGTCTCAGTGTTTTGCTTTTACTTGTCATATGTCTCGGGTTTGCATTTGATATGAGCATAAAATGTTCCAGTGATGCATCCACAGCCATGCCACTGGGAAAATATATGCACATCTCTAATACTGAAGTGATTCAGTACAAGGTGAATGTCCCAGTTAATTGACAGAACAGCTTTAGTGCATTGCTTCTCTCTCTCAAAGCAATGCATTTTATTGAGACAGAATGATTCAACATTTCTGGAAGTAGCCAACTCAGTATTACTCAGTCAAACTCTTTGGGAATGTGTTATTTTTGTGGGAAATTGTTACTCTTGGCAGGAAAGTATTGGTCCAATGCCTTCTCAGAGCGCGGTGGCTCTCCATCAGAGAGGGGCCACCTGAAGACTGTGCTCAGACCCTTGGGCTTCAGCTGGAGGTCTCCACTCCCCCTCATATCCTTCCCAGGTCATGATCCCCAAATTAATCGTTTGGAGTATTGTTATGTGCATTTTTTTCCTAGACTTTATTTGCAAATCTAGTACATAATGGGATTGAAAAAACCAGATTGTTTCACCTAAGGGAAAATGACTTTCACCGGGGAGACTTTTTAAATTTAATACTCTCCTTTAGTTGTAATTCAGGGTTTTTTATGTATTCATGCTAGTCACTTTAAATTATGATAATTTTGAGTTCATGGTTCATTAGCAAGGGTAATTTCCCCCACACCCACCCAGTGCCGGCAGAGGTAGGGTTTTCGGGGGATCGCTCTGTGCTGTGGCAGGGATGAAGGAATCTCATTTTCTCCTTGGCCACAAGGCTGGAAGGATGGTGCAGGCTCAGCGCAAACCTGTTCTGACACCTTTCTCATGCTGTTTGCAGAAGCTGAGAGCCCTCCAGCCCACCTCTTCTAACCCTGGGCACCTGCAGCCCCCAGCCCTGGGAGGTACCCCGTGCTCCCCGGCCCTGGGCCCACCAGGCTGGTCACTAGATGTCCCTCTTGATCATCTTTTTGCAGGCATTAGGCTCCAGCCAGGACGTAGGCAGCGTTTTGTTGTGGGGTGCTCCCACCTTCTGCTCCATCTGCTTGCAGAAGCTGTGCCACACTGCAGGACTTGAGAAGGGAGTGGGTATTTGTGTCCCCCTCACCGGTGACCGTCAGTGACATCCACCTAGCAGGTGGCCGGCACTGTGTCCCACTGCAGGAAGTGCTGGGATCTTCATGGAGACACCTTAGCCCATCTGGGCAAGCACCATGGCTAGCAGCTCCTGTGGCCATGGGTGTCCCCATGCTCTCCAGTTATACCGGTGGCACCAAGGAATGAGGTTGGTGGCACAAGCGCCCCACCTTATGCTGGTCAAAGCCCGTTTGGTCTCCCTGGCCCCACAACAGAAGGACAAGGTTTTGACAGAGGTCCCAAGGGTCTCCAGCCCTTGCTGTCCCTGGGGAGGTCAGCGTGCACAGGTGGGGAGTGCCATGCCTCTGCTTGTGGCAGGAGAATCTGCAGCTGGTGTGAGCGCAGAGCTGGGGGTAGAATGACTTGCAGAAAGGTCACAGTCTTGGTGCAATTCCCCTGCTCCCATGTCAGACATCACAGGGAGCAGGGGCTCTGCTGAGAGGGTTATTTTTGCTTTCCCTTCAAAAAAAAATGTAGCTGCAGATCTTAATCTGCTGTGCTATGCATCGAGCCACAGGCCTCCATCCAAAGGGTAACGTGGCAGTGACTTTTAGGAAGTACTGAATGTACCAGATGTGCAACTCCTTTGACTCCAGATGTGCAACATCCCCCCCGCCCCCCTTGCCTCAGCATAGTTGTCCTGCAAAGGGGAACAAGAGACACCAGATTGCTCAGAAAGCATCCCGCAGACTAAATCTAGCCAAGTGTGAAACCAGACTGGCTCTGGATTCCCACACCCCTGTTTAGGCAGTTCAACCGCAGATATGTCTCTTCCCAGAAATGATGCTCCACACATGGGGAACAAGACCGACTCAGATGAGTGTGATAAAAATGGAGCGGCAGGAGGAGGCTTCATTGCTAAGCCCCATGCTGAACCATGGCCTGTTACTGATTTAAAACTTGCGTGCTGTTTCTAGAAGGAACTGCTTGATCCTGAAAGGGAAAGCTGAGATGTGCACAAGGACTTGAGT